TTCAGCAGGTGAGCGTCTGCAGCCCGTTTTCTGCACAAGATAAAATTAGATGATCAGGGTGGTCATTTCTGGCCTTAGACTCAGCAAGTCTCTACAGCCTCACAGCTAGAACATGAGGCCAAAAGACTTGGTTTGCGACTCCCGCGAATTGGTTTTACTTCTCTATCGGAGAAACAGGAAAGAAATAAGAAGGACACTCGCACAGTTGACACTGAGCCCCTAAGTTTAGCTACCTGACTTAGGAAGCCAGTTTATAGTCAGTGGAAGGAGATAGCTACCTCCAACCAATCAGCCAACATTTGTAAGACATGCTTCAGCTTTCAATTGCTCTCGCATGCAGTCTGCCTCTTTTTATTGACTACGTGGGTAGGCTTCCAACTAAAATCTCTCAAGTTAGATGCCTAACAGAGACAGTGCGCACGTGCCTTCTCTCATCCAACAAGCAATGAAGTGGTTTGCTCAATATGATTTTGTGATGTGCTCTGAGAAACCTGAATTTACATGCTGGTTGAAGGCAAAGAATATCACCTGGCCACCACAGTACTAGAAGCTGCAACTTAAAAAAGTAAAAGATCCTAAAGAAACAGAAAGCCGTGCTCAGAAGCCATCCATACTTTGCAACACCAAGATAAAATAATCTTGTATGTATGGAGAATATTGAACACAATTATAGTATCAGCTTTTTTCTTTTAAACGTACGTTTAGCCCAACTAAGGCATACAAAATTAATCCAGAAACCCTCTGCCCCAAGACCAACTCCACAACCGCTGCTCCCAGCTCCCCACATATTGCCCCCTGCAGTTTTCCTCACTACAGACCTAGAGGAGCTGCTCTTGGAGTTCAGGAAGACTCAATGACTTTCCTTCCCCAAGGCCTGGACTTTGCCTTTCTGCTTGGAAAGACGATGGAGGTTTTTTGGTGAGCACCAGCCAAGAACACACCCTAGGCTAACCACCTGCCCCCCTGTGTGAGACTACTAAAGATTTGGGCGGAGGAAGCGCTAACTACTACTTGGAGAAAAGCTCTCTGTTACCAGGTCCCTAGGTACACTAATATCTCTGACTTCTTACAGAAAGTGCCAATGATATGCAAACATCTTCTCTTGGGTTTTTCTTCCTTCTGTGCTCTCACCATCCACCATCTCAGCCTGCCACAGCACTCGAGCGATATTTCTCTGCGGCATCTTCAAAGGAATGCAGCACTTGCTTTTCATCCGTGCTTAAAAATTTACAGGCACTTACACCTCTTCAGTAGTTCCTTTTAAATAAGAGCACCAGCAATTTGAAAACCCTGCACTCTACTTCAGCAGCACTCAGTAGTCCCTCCAGGCTCCACCTGACCCTTTGGTTTTCTGCAGTTCAGCATCAAGGAGGAAGGTGCTGCTCTGGGTCCTGTTTATCCACAGGACGTTGAGACAAAAGTCCCGGGGGAGATCTTCCTGTGCATGCAGGAGAAAGTTTGGCAAACACCTTTCCTCTTGTCTCTGGTAGCCAAGAAGAGAAAGTGGGTTAAGTAGTCATGGCAACAGAGTTGTAACAACTGTCAGAAGAAGGAGAACCAGCTTATCACTCCAAGGGTGAAACATCCAGTGGAAATGAGGAAAATGAATGGAAACAAAGTGGAGATGCCTGAGGCAGAGGCTTACACCATGTTGGCAGTGCTTCTCTTGTAATCCAAGCACATTTCCTATTTCAGAACATTACCTGATGCTGTTAGCCTCTACAGGGAGAAAAGGTTTAACCCTGCTACCATCCTGCATTGTGGATTCACACAAGCACATGCAGGAGCGTAGAAATGTCAGCGCTGAAGCACAAATTCCTCCCTGGAAACTTGCACAGATTTCAGTGGCATTACCGTGTGGATAGCACCAGCAAACCAGAAAACCTCTGATACTAGTGTCACCCCTGCCACACGTGTCTGCTCATAGTTAAACATACAGAAGCCATATAAGCAATACACTGTGCAGGATATATTCTTGCTCCCTGCTCAGCTCTGCCAGCATTGACACAAACTCTCCCTGCCCGAAGCAGGGCTGGGAGCGCTCCAGGGAGAGCATCCCCTGCGGTGCAGGGCACAGCACCTCACCCGCTGCATACAGCTGCCCCCTACAAGGGTCTGAAACAGCAAGCAAAGACGATTCCTGGCTCTAATTGAAAATAAACGAGCCGGGAAGGTATGCAATTGCCTCAACATTTCCATGACCGCAGAACATATCAGAGGATCTTGAACGACAGGGAACGGTCAGGACTCGGCTCTCATGCTAAAAACGCCAAGCGCACGAGCAGAAGGCGTTGGGGAGCGTGCCGCCTGCGGCGCCACCCAGGACCGCTCCCCGAAGCATCCCGCGGGTCCCAAGGGGAACCCGCAACCCGCCCGTTACCCGCTTCGGGCTACCTGACATCCAACAGCAGCACGAAACCGGTGAGACAGTTACCACCACGTTTGAGCCAACGCTCTCTGAATGGACAGGTCAGGCTCTTGGAAACGTTTGCGGGAATAAATTCAAACTCCTCTAATTGCTCACTCTAACCGCTGACCTGCCCCGAGATGTTTGGATTAGCAGTAGAAAGAGTCTTCGAAGATTCAAACACATAAGACAATCCGAGACAGGGTGATAAGTGGGAAATCTGTCCCCCCCCTGGATCTCAAAGGGAACGAGGTGTTTTAGATAAAGACATGATTAAACAAGGCATTCAGCTTCTCTGTAAAAGGAGTTGAAACATCAAACACACAGAGAAAACAGGCTTTCCTTATAGTGGCAAAACAGCTCTATCCATATTCTTTCACTAGAAACTCATTTCAAAACACAGTAATTTGCAGATGTTGCTTACAGGAGCAGTCAATGTTTGTCTTCCTTCGTATATAAAGCTGAAATGGCAAATCAAGCATGACTGCGATCAAGATCAAATCATTTTTTACCTGCTGTAGAAATGGTGAACTTTGTGCTCCCCTAACACCAAGACGCCTGAATCAGTCAGAAAAAGAAAAAAAAAAAGGAAAATACCTCTACACTAAAATAAAAACTCACAAAGAGTACTTCTTCTCTGAAAACATTAATTTTATATGAAAAATCACTGATGGGATGTAACAACAACATTCCTCACATCAGTCAACTAAACATACTAGCTGTGATATTTAAGAATGATTCAAAGGGCATGAAATTTGAGAATAGTATGTGAGAATAGTATGGTCAGGACTCGCATAGTATGCGAGAATAGTATTTGAGAATAGTATGAGCAGATGTGTAACAGCTTTGCGGTCACAGGTTAAAACATCTAAACTACTTTCATTAATATTGTGTGTGATAACAAGTATCAGTGCTGCGCTAAAGCTGAGAAGGCTGGCATTTGAAAACTACGATAGCTCTGAAATTTAAGTTAAAGGATCCGATTCTCCCCCACTATCAGTATAAACGAAGAGTAAATGCAGTGACATGAATAGCTGAGCCATGTAGAATCCAGATTTTTCTCTTCACGAGAAATATTTCAAGACATTTTTCCCTCTGAAGGCAAATCACATATTGCACAACTTTCTGTGAATTCTCACTTCACCAAAATCAAAACATTTTGCTCTAAATTCTAACTTTTTATATTCTGTGAGTCAAAGTAGACAAAACAAAGAAAATCACCAAGTGACAATTCAAAATGGAAGATTGCCTCTTTCTCTTTTATCTCTTTTCCATTTTCTCCCAAGGCACCACGTTTGCTGAAATCAACACATCCTTACAAAATACTTCATTCTCAACAAATTAGTATTTTTCTGCTTGAAAAACGTTTCAACGACAACAAAAAATTGCGAGTAGCGTTACACGGGCGCAAGCGAAAAGCAATTCAGCTCGAGATCTTTTCCACAGCTCTGCGGTCACGTTGCAATCTGGCCTGTTTCCTGAGAGAAGCGATAGAAACGGTGCCACACAAAGAAGATTTAGAAGAAAGGAAAGAGAACAGAACTAAAAACGCTATTGTTTGTTTCAAAGCTGGGACGCAAAGGGGTAAAGCAAACAAAAGAGGCAATTTCCTAATTTCCTGGGAGGCTTGCGGGGAGATTCGGGATACTTTGCGGGGGGAAAAGCGGGACCGGACCTGGACACGGGCGCAGAGGCTTTCGCTGTCCCCTGCGCCCGGTGCAGGTGAGCTGGCCCGCGAGCCTGCTTCTCCCCTCCTGCTGGGCCAGGCGGGCGAAGGCAGCGCGTGCGCAGTCCCCACAGATGGGAAAGGGCAAGAAAAAGCCGGAGACGTGAGGGATCCTAAAAGGCGGAGAACCGTTTCACACGCTCCCTGCGAAGCGGCGCGCGAGGGTTTTAATCTAAGCTGCTTCATGGGCGACGGGCTGCATAAACAGACGCTCAGGTAGTTGCTGAAACGCGCTCTGCTAGCTGAACGCTTCTGCTAGCGGCGCGCATGGCAACTCGGGAAAGGCAGCCGCGACCTGCTGCTCTCGCAGCGTCCGGTCGGCAAGTTACCGGGGAGCCGCTGCCGAGCGGCGCCGC